CTACAGCAACCTTGGTTCAAGTCTGCGCGAGATTACACTTTGCGTAGCGAGGCTCTGTGAAATGGAGCCTCCTCGTGTGATTGTGGCCAAATTGACCTGCCACTCCTTCAGCACATTCCACGAAATGTGGTACAAACAAGTCTCGTTGAACACAAAAAAACGGATGAAACCAACAGAATACAGCAAAAAGGAGACCCGTCATTAAATCACCTTTAGACAGTCCGGCCGACTGAATTGTTCGTGTGCGGGGGGGGGACAGGGTAGCCGTGCCCTGCAAAGGACGACAATGATTGGTTGTCTCTTGTCTCCTGCTTCCCGGCTGCCGTCCAATCAGAATGCGCCAGTTATCCTCTGCCTCGTCGGCATCGGCTGGACGGCCGGTTGCCAGTGGCGACAACATTGTACCGAGTCGTCGGCACGTCGGGGCTTGGTGACTACGTTGAGGCATGCTGACTGTCTCGCAGGTGCACACACACAAAGGCGAGGCCACGTTCTCGGGCGCACTGTCGGTGCGGGAGGGCAGTTTCACCTTCGACGATGGGAATCCCCATTCCACTTTGCTGCTGTTGCTCATCTGCCTGTTGATGGTCTTCTTCTTTGTCATGTTGGTTTGTCTACTCGTTCCGCCGGGCCGCGAGCTGATCGACCTCGGCTACCGTTTGCTCTGTCGTCAAGTGCAATTGCTGTCGGCCATTTTGTTGCCACGGCCCGACGGACTGACGGACACGACGCGTTCGGGCATGCGGACAAGTCAACTCGCCGGCAGCGATGATCCTTCGCCGCGCCACAGAGTGGCCGGGCCGGTACCGAAATGCCGGGCCGCCGAGCGTGTGTCGTCGAGGCGAAGCGGTCGAGACCGGTCACCTCGTCTGCCAGCCGACGCCGACGCCGACGCCGACGCCGACGCTGACGCCGACGGCAACTGGACCGGGTCGTCGGGAGGCTGTCCCCCCTCGAGGGTTGGTAGTGACGACGACGAACACGAGCACAACCACGACAAGGCGTAAATCACAGACTCTACTCTCGATCCTCTTCGCGGGACGGCGTGAGATGGGACGTCCGGTGCGATCGAATTGGGAGACAAAACGACCTCGGCTCGGGGTTTTGTGCTCACATGTCGATGGTTGGACAGCCCGACAAATCGACAGACAGACAGTTCGACAGGTGGA